AAAAAGAATAGGATTGATTGTGAAAACAACTATATATATATATATATATATATATATATATATATAGTAGTCTGTTTTGTCTCTTTAGATAGGGTTTAACTATCTGTGAAATGCTGACATGTTGAATGCCTACTTTTATATCATATAAAATAGTATTACTCTTCCAAATACACTAGAATACAGTGTATGTAAAACAATGTCATATGGAAGCTGTAAGGCCTAATCAAGGTTAAAAACATGACTATTTTGAGGAATTTCTTGACAATAGAAGGATTGATAATAACTGATGATATAAATAGCTTAGGTTTAGTCATCAAATTATCCCATCATTCTTTCTCCTTGTTGGCTTACAAATGGTATTAGGACATTTCAGAGCAGAGACCTTAGGACTGGAGAAGTGATATCAACCCTGAAATCTGCCATGAGACATTATGTTACATATTAGGCAGTTAGAGCATGGACTATGAAATGTCTGAGACCTGGTTCAAATACTTTCTCTGCCTCTTGCTAAAGATGCTTATAATTTACTTTACCTTACCTCTCTCTGACATTATTTTTTTTTATAAAATAAGGGATTTGTGGAGATTGCATGAGATACCTAGTGGTCTTTAACCTTAATCAATAAACAACTGAGCCTTTTTGTGAAGAGATCCTCAATATTCCAAAGGGATGAAAATGAATCTCTTGTAAATGAAGAGAGCATAGGGATGTAGGGATAGAAGATTGGGTAGCCCACCCCATCATCCGTATCCCTTCCTATCCTTGATTCATCTCTTTGAGACGTAGGGTTTGGGAATGTCATTTGAAAATAGCTGAGGAGATTAGGTAGCAAGTGCCTACCACAAGATCTGATGTGCTGTGAAATAAATAGCTTCATAAGCACCATCAAGATGGTATAGTAGTCATTATCTTATTTAGAATGGCTATTGTTATCATTTTCTGTGTGCTTCTGTACATATCACACACTTTGGATAGCACATTTTCATGATGGCTTTGCCCAAGTGGTCAGCCTGGATTGTGTATATCAAATCCCAAATGTACAATGGTAAGGGGCATTCTGTTGGTGTTCTTTCAAATCCAGCAGGAGTGAACCAGTCGCTGAACAGTAATTTTGAAAATTTGATAACATGGTTCTCTTTTTTAAAGTAAAATCTTAAGCAGACCGAAGAAAATAAAACTGAACCAACCAGGCCTGCCTCAATCCCAACACCCAGCCCCTTTTCCATCTTCATGAGGTCCCAGAGGCAACTTCCATGGGACATACACTGAAGAACTACCTGATTTTTGGATCAATGGTTATTTTTTCAACACCCACTGAGTATAGATATGTAATTAATTATATGTGAGAGTTGAGGTACTATTCACTGAATCCTGTAGGATTCACTTCATTCTAGAGGTAATTGTCATATAACCCTTGAAATAATTAATTGCCCAGATGTCCCCGCTATATGCATACTGGGATATTTCTGTGCCATGTAATTTCAAGATTGCCCCTACGCTAGGGAAATACTGTTGTTAATTCCTTTCCAAGTCTTTTAAATGGACTGAGACACAGATCCATTGCCTGTAAATTATTGTTCACTATATTAACAGAATGTAATTGTTAATACTCAAACCCTTCACATTCATAAACTCAGAGGTGAATAGACTTACTGATACATTGCAGGATAGGGACTAGAACCTATATCTCTTGAAACCTTAACTAGGACTCAGTTATTCAATGTGAAACATGACTTTACTTGTGTTTCAAGAGCACAGCTCAGCTGATTTTGGGTTATGAGCAATGAAGAGCTCAGATCCAATCAAATAGGCAACATAGAAGTTTAAGTATTTATATAGGTTGGAGTGGAGGAAGGAATCAGAAATGGGTATTTATCTAATAAGTATCAGGAAGCACCTAAGTGTAATGGGAGGAATTAAATCCCGGATACATATGTAGACATTTAGAAGATCTAGGAAGGCTGAGACCTATTCTCTCATCTTAAACTTGGAAGTTGAGACCGTGCAAATAACTCTAATTCCCAGAAATGCGTAGTGTACTCCCAGAGTAGTGATATTTGTCTTTTCTTAATGCACTACAAATTGTTTACTACATACTTACCTAAGAGCTCAAAAGCCCTTTGTCTGTTCTGTGATATAGGTTGATCCAGAACTGGTGGTCACGACATAAAATCAAGCGAGGAGTACAAGATGCTTCCATACCTCAGTGGGAAAATGATTGGAATCTGCAGCCCATGAATATTCATGGACTTATGGATGAGTATTTAGAAATGGGTAAGGAAACAAACTTCTACACAGCTCTTTGGCTTTCTTGATACTCTTTTGTTACTTCACAAAAGTAGAGAGAGAAAACCATCTCTGTCCTTTCCAACCCCAGGCATTCTAAAATACATCTGTACCTTTATCTCAACATAACTAGAGAAGAGATTAAAACATTGTCCTTGGAAGGCTCACAGATTCTGTCCTCTGTTAGCTGTAACATTTGGCCAAAATGAAGAGTTTTCTCATAGTAGAATACCTAGCTTTAGTGCAGGTATTTAAAAGGAACAAAATAAAGCAGAATCCATTCCTGTGTCAATAACATACCATCCTGCCAGGATAAAGCAATAATTATTTCGTACAATAAACCTTTGCACAGACCTGGTATGAGTTCGATTGAGAAACCCACTTATTTATATTAAGAAAATAAGGATTCCCACTCCAGCTGTTAAAATCTTTGTGTATTGTCTTGACATTTACTTTTGCTCTGGACTTTACTTTTTCTCATCTATTAAAAAAGGGTGGGAGGGAGGAGAGGGCGGGTGATGGGTATTGAGGAGGGCACCTTTTGGGATGAGCACTGGGTGTTGTATGGAAACCAATTTGACAATAAATTTCATATATAAATAAAAATAAAAAAAAAAAAAAGACAAGATTAGGTCTCTTGGGTCCCTTCTAGAGCTAAGCATTTTTCTTCAAGCCCTCCTCTTTGACTTTTTTTTTTTTTATTCACTCTTTCTTCATGCTGCATGGCCTAGGGGTGGAAAGCACATAAACTTTCAATCCATTGAGATCAGAGTTTAAGTGCAGGTTTTAGGATTTTTAGCTATCTACCGTTTTGCAAGCTTACTTAACATGTATGAGCTATAATTTTCTTAGCCGCAAAATATGATGAGCATATTTACCTTGTAGGGATATTGAAAGGGTGAAAGGCAATTTATGTAAAGTACCTAATATGGCACAAGGAAAGCACTCAAGAAATGATATTGTTTGTATTACTAATTTTGTAATGCTCTCCCTTTACAGTTTTGCAGTTTGGTTTTACCACCATCTTTGTTGCGGCTTTTCCTCTGGCCCCTCTTTTGGCCTTATTAAACAATATCATTGAGATCAGGCTGGATGCCTACAAATTTGTCACCCAGTGGCGGAGGCCTCTGCCGGCTCGAGCCACTGACATAGGTAAGATTCAGGAATTAAATGGTTCTTGCATTGCTAAGGCCATCAGGTGCCTTGAGCTTAGCACCGTGTGGGTTTCTATTGTTGGGGTTCCCTTCCAACTATAACAAAAACTGAACAATTTTGGTTAACAAAATAGTGAAATGAACACTAACTTACTTGGGAGTATGTTTATACTAAATATGCTATTTCATGAACTTGTTTGTAACTAAAAATGATCTCATATACACATTTCCATGTTAATAAAAATTGCTTTGCTTCATTTTTTATAATTCCTGCACCAATTTCTATTACATGTTGTGTGACATTTCTAAAAACTCATTCCCTTAAATAGAGATGTTTAGATTGCTTCAGTTTTTCCTATTATAAACAACACTGAGGTGAACATACATCTTCATACATACTTTGGCTGATTATTTCCTCAAGATACATTTCTAGAGTGGAAATCCTATGTCAAAGAGCGTATACATTAATTTTTTTTGACATTTAGCATAATGCCCTCCATCCATTTAAAATTTTAATAATTTCTCAACATGTTCTCTAGAAATACTGTGACAATTGATACTCCTACCAGGTATAAGAATGGTTCTTTTTTTTTTACTGTTGTTCATCCTCACAAATATGAGGAAGCAAACCATGTGATCTTGTTATGTTTCCCCACATTTTTATAACTATGAGATTAAATACATTTGTATTTCTTCTTTACTAACTGTGTATGAAGTTTGTCTATTATATTTGATTTGGTAATCTTTATCTCCATGTTCACAATATTAACCTTTGATATATAGGTTGGAAACACTTTCAAATGCTGCTTTTTAACTTTTCACTCTATCATGAATAAGTTTTTAAAGTGTGTATATTATCACATTGATATATCTCTCTTATAATTATTATTTCTGGCATTCTTAGAAAGTCCTTTAGAACTCCCAATTTTTCACCATGCACTTTTTTTTCACTATGTATTTTAGATATGTGTATGTTATTTGGTTATCTGTTAGCCCTTTATGGTTTTATTTAAATTGTTGATCTAATTGGAATTTGTTAATAAAGGGGTTGAAATTGGTATCCAGCTTTTTTTTTTCCTAAAGAGTAGCAAATTTTCCCAAAACCATTTATCAAATACTTCATCTTTCCTAGCTTGTTTGAATTAGCTCTATATACTAAATTCTATATAAACTTAGGTATATTTCTAGAATCTCCATTTGTCCCTTTGATCTGACTACTTATTTTTGGCATACTGTTTTAATAAACTGTGATTTTGTAATAGAAATTCTAAGTATATGAAAAAGCAAATTCATACTTTTCCTTCTCCTTTTCGGGAATTTTCTGGCTAATATTGCAAAGTTATCTTTTTTGGTTAATTATATAAATATGTATATATATATACATATAGTTAATTATATATATGTACATATATATGTAGATATACTCCACAGCCAACAAAGTTTATTTCAAATATACTACTAACCTGCAGAGAATGCTATTCAACTTGAGTTCCCATTTTTTAAAACAACTAAAATTATTACTATTATTTAATTTAAATATATTTATTATTTCATTATTAAAGTAATATGAGCACATGAAAGAAAATCTGGAAAATAAATCAAAAAAGAAAAATCAAACCCCATTCCAGGCTTAATTAGTGTTTATTGTACTTTCCAATGCAAAATTTATTACTTTGTTAACTGTTGTAGGTTGTCTTGCTCAAACCAGACAACAAAAGGTATAAAAATAGTTAATATTCATCTTCCCTCTTTGCCTGTCCCTTCTACCTCAGGGCGTGAGTGATATCAGCTAGGCCTTACACTTTGTCAGTGTTTTTCTTGCTTGTACAAATATACAAAAAATTGTACACTTATGGATTCTGAATTTTTCTTTCTTCATGAATATCCTCTAGCTCAAAACATATTGGTGTCATTCATTTTAATAGTGTAATAATACTCATAATAGATGTATGATAAGTTGTATAGTCATTTACTTAGTTGTCCCAAGCAGGGAATAAATATTCATAAATATAACTATGAATAAATATAGGTGTAAATATAGACACAGGCATAGATATTATATATATTGTCTATGACATATCCATAGATGTGTAAGAACAGTGTAACTCTGTTGTACAGATCGATCCCCAAAATAAGGCCTACCAGATTAAAATGTATTCACATTTTAATTTTAAAAGATATCAGATTAATCACCACAAATACTGTAACAAGTCCTACTTCAAACAATTACTTTCAAAAGGGTTTCTGTTCCCACAGTCCCTCAACAGCAGTGGATGGTAAGAGACTCAAATCTCTTACAATCTGATAGATTAAAAAAAAAATCTTATTTTTTTGAAAGGTGTTTCTCTGAAATGCTAATTTTCAACTAGTGATTGATTATTTTCATTTCCATAGCAATTACTCATTGGTATTCTTGGCCCATTTTTCTCTTGGGTAGTTTGCCTTATTAAAATTGTAGGACATTTTTGTGTATTCTGTATAATAACCCTTTGTTTTTTGTGAAACAAACATATTCTCTCTGGCGATTGTTTTCTTTTCACTGAATATTGTTACTTTTGTAAAACTATATGTTAAATTTTGATGTATTCAAATGTTTTAATGGATTCTGATTTCTTGTCTCATGATTTTTTATGTCATGTATTTTTTATTTTTATTTTTTTCATTACAACTCAATATAATGAAACATAAAGATTTTGAAAAACAAAGAAAAGGGATGAGGGTTGGAGACAGTTGCCATCCTATCTAATTACCTTTAGCACTTTTGAGTATTTCCTTCCAGGACTTTTTTTCTTTTTTTTTTTTTATCAATACTTTTAAAACAATGTTTAATCCTGTTTCAAATATCACTTTTGACTACAATCAATATTATATGGATACTGTATACAATTTTAAAAGCTTTTTTGTGTGTCTTTATACCAGATTGGGAAAGTCCTGGGTCTTGACGCAAAACTAGTTTTGCACTTTTACTTTAAAAAGGTACTTGAAACAATTCCTAATGATATCTTAATTTTCAGATCTCTCTAGGTAAGGTTTACCTTCCCTCTGTGGAAAAGTATTCAGTAGATTCCAAACTGTACTGAGATACTGTGCTAAGGAAGGAAACAATGAACAGACCTGGGGTCCCAAAATAAGTAAAACATTCTCTCCAAAGAAGACTCATTAGAGGGTTTTAATGTGTTTTTTTTTTTATTTTATTTCCTATCTTTACTCTTTCTCCTACTAGGTATCTGGTATGGAATTCTTGAAGGAATTGGTATATTGGCTGTTATCACCAATGCGTTTGTAATTGCTATTACATCTGATTACATCCCACGTTTTGTCTATGAATACAAATATGGCCCCTGTGCAAGTCGTTTTGAATATGGTGAAAAGTAAGGTTGAAATTTACACATTTTTTCTTATATATTTTGTTTGTGATTGAAATGGGAACTCATTGGGAAGTTTTGTTCTGTGACCGTTAAAGTTAGTGTTTTTGATCATTGCACTTAAAGTGTGCTTATCGGATGAAATCAAGCAGAATAAAAAGGGCAACAGTGTTTTTTATGCAAAGATTGTGAAGTCTCTCTCTGTTTTTACTTGTAAATGCATCACTGGTATCGAAATGTTAAAAAACATTATAACGTATTTAGAAGTGGAAGAGACATTAGAAATCATGCAATGCCATCTTCTGACTATATAGATGGAAAAATTGGGCCCACACTGGTTAATCAAATTGCTACAGGGAATAAAGCTAGTTTGTAGGAGATACAGTGCATGAAGGAAATGTCAGCTACATGATGAGAGAGTTGTCAAAAGGAATTTATAGCTAGGGATTTTAAGGTGCAGAAAATATTGCCCTGGATCTGTGTCCTTTTTTTTTTTTTTTTCCCTTTGAAATTAAAATTTGAATCCATGCTTTAGAGCAGGGTTCCTCAACATCTGCACTATGGACATGTTAGACCAGATAGTTCTACTTGCAGGGATGGTGGGGGTGTTTCTGTGCATTGTAGAATATTTAGTAGAATCCTCGGCTTCTACCCAGTAGATACAAATAGCAACCTTCCTACTCCTCAAGTTGGGACAACCTAAAATTGTCTTCAGATATTGCAAAATGTCCCCTGAAGAACAAAATCACCCATTTTACAACCACTGTTTTAGGGGAAATGTGTTTTTCACATCTTTCCTTCTTGAAAGCAAGTATTAGGAAAGAATGTCAGAGAGCACTAGCCATGGGGAATAGAAATGGGAGTTCCAGCTGCAGATTAGCCTTACAAGTGGAAGAAGTTATGGGAGATAAAGCAATGATAGGAGAAGCCACTTCAGTCCTACCTCAGGGGCAGGTTTGAGCATGCGTCTCATGTAGATGCAGGGCATGTGCCCCAAGATGCTGAGCTCTGGTTTACGATGAAATCGACCCTTAGCTCTACTGATGAACCGATGTTTTCTCAGAACACTGAGACGCCTTTCTGAACATAAACATCTCAGTTTTTCAAAGAGAAGTAATAAAGACATAAAATCTTATTTTGTGTTTTGGAGTCACGTCAAGGGACTTTAACTTAAAAGCAAACACCCTAGATTGAAATTCTTACTGCCTTTTACTAAAAGGCACAATCATCAATCTGGACCCTTAATAAAGAAGTAGTGTCTAAAGTAGCATTTTATGAACTGTAAAAGACAATATAAATAAGCTACTTTTAGCATGAATAGTGAAAAGCCAAAAAAAATTTTTCTTAATTTAAAATAGTCTAGAAGTGGATTTTAAGGGTTTATAATATGTAGGCATGTTTGGGAACCCTCTTCCTTAGAAGTGTTGTTTGCTACTGTCTTTGCTTCCATCTAGTGGCAGGTGGAAATGAAAGTAGTTGGTTATCTGCTGTGTATTCATTTCCAGTCCCGCCTTTCATGTAGATAGCACCAGACATCTCCATATTCAGTGACTAGATGTAGAATAACTTTAAGAAGAGATGTAGAGGGCTTATATGAGGTTGAAACTGCACATTCCTAAGACCATCCTGTTATTTAATTTTTTCTAGGTATGCTTAGCAGCTAAGCTGGAGTAGATTCATTCAGATCAGAATTTTTCAGACCAAGATAGCAAAAGAACAAAATGGCGGTGGAGAGGAGGGTATTGGCAAGAGAGCGGTTAAAATGACAAATCATGGGGTCTGGGATGGACAGGCAAGGGAGTAAAACCAGTGCAGTCCTGTACTTCAGAATTCAGGGTTTACAATGAGATAGATGTACATTTGAATCCAGGTTTGAACGGCCGTTTGTTCTGGGCAGTGATTTTCAACATGTGTGTCCTTCAGAGTCCACAAGGCCGATATTGTTTTCATAATAATACTAAGATATTCTTAGTTTGTTTGCTATAATGACATTAGTATAGATGATACGAAAGCGATAGTGGATAAAATGCTCTTGTGGCTTTGCGTAACTGAAGGCAGTGGTACCAAAAACAATGACTGTATTGTTTTGTATACAATGACTGTATTCCTTTGTATAACCACCATTTTACAAAATGCCAGTAAGAAAATTCAGAATGTCCTTGATGAAACAATAATTATTACATTTATTAAACCCCCGCCTTGAATAAATGTCTTTTCAGTATTCCATGTGACAAAATGCAAAGTGTGATAAAGCACTTCTCCTATATGCTAAAGTGTGGTGATGCTCGTCTCAGAGTAAACCACTTGCATGATTGTTGGATTTGCAAACTACACAAAATGCTCTTATTGTGATATAATGATTTCCAGATAAACTATGATTATTCAGACTGACGTATGTAGGAGACACTCTTCTAGAAAATGGACAAAACTAGCTGGTCACTTTAAGAAAAATAACTGACATATTTGTTGCCATTAATAAAGTTCAGGTTTTAAAGTGAAAATCAAAATTTTAGATAATTTTATCTACCACTGACCTTGAAAGTTTCCCAGTACTTACAGATTTTTCTTGATAAAAATCAATGGTGATATTAACAAATATGCTTTTCGTAGTCTATAGTAAAAATATAACAATATTTGGAAGATCTGCATAATTCAAGAAACAAATATTTCCCAGATGACCCATATTTAAGGTTACAAAATTATGCATGGATAAAATATGACTTCAAAGCACAAGATAGACCTGTGGATTTTAATGTAAAATCCATATAAAAAGTTTATTGATACTTTAAGACTCCACATTGCAATTAAACTTTAAGAAATGGCACAGGTAGAACTTTGGTGTAATATCCATGAAAACTATCAACAATTATTTGAAGTGCTATTAAAATATCCTTTGTTTCAACTACTTATCTATGTGAGGCCGGATTCTCTACTTACTCTTCAACTAAAACACCATACTGCAATAGATTTAATGCAGAAACAGATGTGAGAATGTAGCTGTATTCCAGTAAGACAGACATCAAAGGATTTGCAAACATGTAAAACAATGTCATTCTTCTTACTATATTTTTTGGAACTTATCACTATTTTCCTTTAAAAATGTGCTGTTTATATCAATTTGTAATGAATTTGATAAATTATCTTAAATGAATTAATAGATAAATATTTTCTAAATTTATTTTAATTTATAATGTGTGAATAGCAATGCATACACATTCATGCAAAAAGGTTCTTGAGATCCTAGTAATTTTTTAAAAAATTTAAAGGTTAGCTGAGCTCAAAAATCTTGAGAATTATAGACTTGGAGGAAGTTAGTCTCTGTAAAACTTAGTTCTTTATATGATGGAATTGATAATGTACATGTTCTAAGGTTATTGTAAAACTTAACTCTGACTACAATTTAATACCTCACCATCAGGATAGGAATTTCTACTTGTTTTGTTCACTGTCAAATACCAATCATCTAGGAATTTTTCTAACAAATTATAGGTCCTCAATAAATATATGTTGAATAAGTTAAATCACAAATACACATGCTGTTCTATTGGCTACTTAATTATAATTATAATTAATAATTAGCCAGATGGTGTGATTTGCATGTATAAAACATATATTTATAGAGTTTTAACACATAGGAAGTAATTAGCACAATGCTTAGTGCACAGTCAGCGCTTAATAAATGTAATCCAAATGAATGGGGAAAAACAGTGGAGGGGTGGCTGGGTGCTCAGTCCGTTAAGAGTTTGACTTTGACTCAGGTCATGATCTTGCGGTTTGTAAGTTTGAGCCCTGCGTCAGGTTCTGTGCTGACAGCTCAGAGCCTGGAGTCTGCTTTGTATTCTGTGTCTCGTCTTCTCTCTGCCCTTCCCATGATCATGCTCTGTCTCACCCTGTCTCTCAATAATAAATAGATGTTAAAAAAAAAATTAAAAAAAAAACAGTGGACAAGACTTTGTCTCATTAACCTAAACGTACATAATAATGGAAGTTAGAGGATTAATAGGACTTATTGAATCCTGTCATGTGTAATGAAAGAATTGGACCAGAAATGTATAGATCTCTGAATCATGTGATACTTTTCTTTTTTCCCCAGTTGTTTAAAGGGATATGTCAACAACAGCCTATCCTTCTTTGACCTGAGTGAGCTTGGTGTGGGAAAATCTGGTTATTGCAGGTACATACTTGTAAATTATAGCTATCTTTTCTTCTTGCTTTTATCATTCCATCTCCTCCCTCTACATGCTAATGAGCCCATTTCAGCTGTCATTTTGGAGTTTTGGTAAATTACAGCATTTGGGGCCTCCATGCTTTGGTCTCTATTCCTCACATTGTTTGTCTTGTGGATTTTAGGTACCGGGACTACAGAGGTCCCCCGTGGAGTTCTAAACCCTATGAGTTCACCTTACAATACTGGCATATCCTCGCTGCACGATTGGCCTTCATTATTGTGTTTGAGGTTAGTCGCAGGCTGATAAAATTACTATTAGTAAACCCTTTTCCTACTGATAAATTAGTTGGCCCTTTGAAGTCAGTTCCTCACTGACTTCCAAAAAAGGACTTGTGTATATCCCAGTAAAAGATTCAGATACAGTGAAACTGCTATAAGACGTGCAAAAACGCAAAAGCTGAATAATGTAAGAAGGTAGGTCAGTGGGTATTTATACCAGAAAACTAAGATAAAAGAAGCTATTAACAGTTCAACTGAAAACTTAGGTTTGAGCCTGTTAGTAACCATATTTAAAAAGGAAAGGATGGTTTTCATCATGTGATGAGAGAATCTATACTTATTCATTGGGAATAAGAAACATATTTTCTAATAACTTAATTACAGTTGACCATATGTGTGTTTGTATAAGGGACATTGCATAATTCAATAAATAATGCCAAGAACACTTTCATAAAATGTGCATAGATTTTGATTATCAGAGTCATGTAATAATATTAGACTGTAGTCCTGTGAAGAAATTTTGGAGAAGCTACAGTATTGTTGCCTTCCTTAGCATATAAGAAGCTTGATGCCGTGGAGAATTTAGTGTTGGAATATATTGAGTATCGATTCTCTAAGGTACCATTAAGTTCTATGGAAAAACTGAATGTATCTGTTTTTTTATGGAGAGGAAAAAAAGGAGACATACATAAGACTTTTGCAAAAAGTTTTTTTAAAGGCAGATATACCTCTCCACTGATCTCCAAAAAATATGTCAAATTTTGTAGTGAAACATCCTTCATCCATAAAACGAAATGCTTACCTCTAAGGTTTAATCCAGGATGAAATTCTATTTACCTAATGATTCCATGAGCTTATAAAAGTGTCTCCTGATGAAGTGTGATGTTTCACTTTATTACAGGTAACATAAGAGAGGTTAAGGCATATTTCCAACCCAATGATTCTAAAAAGTCTTCTTGTTATTGTGTGTGTTTTTAATGTACACTTTTTCTTCATCTTCTTTCTTAACTCAAGTGAACAGTCTTAGTCAAATGCCTCAGTTTACAGCAACCTGTCATCATGAAAACAAATGATTCCCTCTTTATTTTTTCTTCTTTATTCCTCATTACTAATTCCATTACCCACCCACTCCAAAAGCACCCACTTTTTTCTTCAGTAGAAATTTTCCCACATGTTTATTTGAACATACACATATGTATATATAGTATTGTTTTAAGTGTTCTTTTTTCAAATTACTTCAATGGTATTATGCAATAACTTTTTTTTGTCTCTTACCCATTTTACTTTTTTTAGACCTAGACAGAGATCTTTCTATGAGGTCTATCCATATTTAGATAATTTCTTCAGTCTACTTATGTATGATAGTTCATTGGTTTTAAATACCATAATCCCCTATGGGTGGGTACTTGGGCTTGCAATAATCTCTCTACCTCTATAAATCTCTTATAAATATTGGACATATTACCTTCTAAACATACATAAGGGTTTTTCAGGAATATTATACTCAGGTTTGGAAATTGTTTAATTTCACATAATACTGACAGATTACTCTCCAAAATTCCCTTAGATTTTCACCAGATTTTCATATAATGTGAATTTCTAATATTTTGCAATTGAATAAGAGTAAGGTAATATTTTGTTTTAATTTTGTTTGTTTGTTTGTTTTAAGCTGTTAACTCATGTCATCAACTTTTAGTACTACAAAACCATTTTGGTTTCTTTTTTGTGAATTTATAACCTTGATCTATTTTTGGCTGAATTTCTAGTTTATTTGTTGCCAAATTTCAAGATTTTCTTATGTGTTCTACATATTAGTCTTCACCAGTTATAAATATACAAGATATCTTTTTCTTGTCCATAACCTATTAATTTTATCTATAAACAAATAGTGTTTAATTTTGATGTCATCAGGTCTTTCATTGTTTTCCTTTTAACGTTTTTGCTTTTTTTGTGTGTAGTTTATTTAGGAAATTGTCTTATCTCCAGCTCAAAAATATATTCTACTACATATTTTAGTATTAATTTTATAATCTTACCTATCACATGTGTTAAAGATATCTGGACATTTTATAGAGACTAAGGGAAAAGCTTATTTTTCTCATTCAATATAATTTTTATACTGCTGTTTATTAAATAATATATTATTTAACCATTGATTTGTAAACCCACCTCTGTAATATTCCAATTTCCTATAGTGGGTGTGTCCCCGGCCACAGTGTTCTGATTTCATTACTCCATTTGTCTATTCCTGTTCCTTATCACACTATTTAAATGTCCTGGCTTTGGAATATATCTTCATATCTGATAAAGCCAGCCACTTCCTACCCCTGCCAAGTTTGCTTTTTTTTTTTTTTTTTTTTTGAGAGACAAAGTGCAAGCAGGAGAGGGGCAGAGAGAAAGGGAGACAGAATCTGAAGCAGGCTACAGGCTCTGAGCTGTCAGCACAGAGTCCGAAGTAGGGCTCAAATTCACGGACTGAGAGATTATGACCTGAGCTGAAGTTGGACGCCCAACCTATTTGAGCCACCCAGGTGCCCCAAGTTTGCTTTTATTTTTAAAAATTGCCCTAGCTCTTTAGAGTTATCCATCATTTATATACATTTCAGAAGCCATTTTTCAGGTCCCCTCAAGTATCATGCAAGGATTATGGTTAGAATTGCATTTATAGAAAACACATGTTGACTTATTTACAAAATCTGTGCTGATTCGTTAATAAACATGAAATTTATTCAAACCATTCTTACATACTTTAATAGAGTCTCAAAATATTCTCTTGCTTGTTCATTCCTTTTTATTTCCAGAAACTTTGTAGATATTTTTATTGCTGTTATAAACACTGTCTTAGCCTCCATTATGATTTGATTGATTTCTGTTGGAATTCTAATGGTCTTTTCTAACATGTGCAATGTTCCTTGTTTAAGTCTTTCATTGGTTCTAACCTTCTGTCTGTTAAATCTGTTGGATAGCCTTTTCAAGTGATAATACAAGTTGCAAATAAGGACAGCTTTGTCTCTTCATTTGTGAGGTTTATGCTCATTTCTCCTGCTTTCCTTACTGTATTGCTGGAAATTTCAGTAGGATATTGAATAGCAATGGTGTGAGCAATTGTATCTTGTTTCTAAATTTAACAGAAATACTTCAGATTTTTTTTAAATATATTTGCTGCAGGTTTTTTGTTTAGATACACTCTGTCAGTTTAAGAAAATTATCATCTGTAACTGGTTACAAGGCTGCTTTGATAAATGGCAAACTTTAGCCTTTTAAAAAATAGATTTTTTAAAATACTGAATCATTCTCTCTATGTGAATCCTTTTATAGCTTCATTTATTACCATTGTATAGGACTCGGAGCATATTCTTCACTGTTTTAAATTATAACAAATGTTTTTGATTTTTATTTCTATACTTTTGAGACCCATTGCTGGATATTTATGTGCATACCAAATATATGATCAGGAAAGAAACTCCCGATCTACTTTTCTATGGTGAATACGACAGGCTTTACTGTGACCTACTGTGCAGTGCAATTTCCTGAGGCGCTGACGTAAACCCAGTTAAAAGTACCTTGAATTCCTCCTTTCCACATAAAGAGAAGGTTGTCACAAAGTCCTGTAGGTAAATTCTTTTTTTCCACACATCATCCTAACTCTATCAGTATCAGATTTTCTTTTCTGAGCAACTGAAAGGTCTACTCTTCTCCATGGGAAAAGAAAAAGGATGCAGTTATTATAAAAGGAAATGATATTTAAGTGTTGCTTCTATTGCATCAAGCCCTTCTTTAAGCCCTTCACATATATCTGCTCATTTAATCCTCATAATAACCATTAAGGGATATCATTCCTGTCACCATTTTAGAGATTAGACACAGAGAGCGTAGGTGATTTGCAAAAGGTTACACAGCTAATAAGGGTCAGAGGATGGTTCAGACATAGGCAGTTTCATTCAGCCTCTGAACTTTGGACCACAGGCTTATTACCTTTTGGTTTTTGGTCCTGTCTTTTTTATATACAATACTTTTGGCAGTCTATTTTTAAAAATTAATACATTTTTATCATAAAGGAATTATGTAATAGAGACAAAATATTTTATAATATTTGAACTTACTAGAGTAGAAAATCTATGAAATGCATGTTCTGGAGATTGAGTCCACAGTCTCACAGAATGCAGTCATGGACCGACTGTATTCTATGTGGCTTATACAATGTGATTATGATCTATCAGACCTGAGTTTTCCTGGATGTGGTCTTTCTCATCTCTATATATCAATGCATGTTATAATAGGATTGCATAGTATATAAGGATTTTATAGATGTGAACTTAAGATTCATTCAGTGTTTATAAAGTGATTTTTAACATGTGGCACCTAAAAGGAAAGAATTCTCTTTTCTCCTAATACTTATGTGATGGAAGGCAGCAGTATAGTTGTTCCAATATAATTTCTTTAAAATTTTTTAGGTTTATTTATTTTGAGAGAGAGAGAGAGAGAGAGAGAGAGAGTGTGTGTGTGTGTGTGTGTATGTGTGTGTACCAGCACAAGTAGGGGAGGGGAAGAGAGAAGGAGAGACAGAATCGCAAGCAGGTTCTGCCCTGTCAGTGCAGAGCCTGATGCGGGGCTGGAACTCACAAACTGTGAGATCATGACCTGAGCCGAAATCAAGAGTTGGATGCTTAACCGACTGTAGCACCCAGGCACCCACCAATATAATTTCTGAAAATATTAATATTCTAGATAGTACACTCTGAGTTCTGATGCTTGATTGTAAGGCAAATGCAACATTGTTCACAATCTGTTCTATAATTGGCATTCCAGAATCATTGAAAAGTGTACTTTCTCCTCTTAAATTTGCAGCACCTTGTTTTTGGGATCAAGTCATTCATCGCATACCTGATTCCGGATGTACCAAAGAACCTGTATGACCGAATACGACGGGAGAAGTACTTGGTCCAAGAGATGATGTATGAGGCTGAACTAGAACATTTGCAACAACAACGGAGAAAAAGTGGTCATCCTGTTCACCATGAATGGCCTTAGTTAATACCAAGGGGCAGTACCAATGGTGGGAATGATAGCAACCTTAAATTCTAGGGGGGATCCAGGAGGAAGGCATACCTGGCAAACCATATATATGATATGTTACTTGGAAATGCATCACAGCCATCTCTGAGATTTGGAATATCCAGGCTTCTAGGGAAGAAAAAAAAATGACTCATGACATCTAAATGGTTAGATTGACATTGCAGGAAGCCGGGATCTAATTCTCAGAACCAGCCTCAGGGAGTTGTGTGTTTGGAGACCTCTACCTTCCGTCAGCTGCAGTGTGATAGGAAGGGTGGTGGTGAGGTTTCTAGCAACAGTTTTCCATGTAAACGTTCATAAGCCAGGCATGCTAACAGTATCACCTGCTCTTCAGTCACATACTAATCTGACTTTGGAAACTTAGGTGAGTTGAGATACTCACAAGAAATGACTTACATCAGTTATTGCCTTTGCTACCAGAATTCCATGTCCCTTCAGCTTACAAGTTTGGGGAATTTTTTTTTCTGGGTTTATGGATCTCTGCTACAAGGAATTTATGCTGCTTTACATTGACTATGCAGTCGAAGAGTTGCACACCTTTAGTAGTCAAACCAAAAATCTGAGATTCTAAAAAGAATATCATTCACTGAAACATACTCTATTGCATTGGCTACATTCAAATGTGTTGTATCACTGACAGAACAAGTTTCACTGCCTTTTTTTTTTTAAATTAAATTTCAGTAGAGCCACATACTTATAAAATATGGGTGTTTATTCTCATATCATTTAGAATACCACTCATCCATATTTTACCGTGGAGGGCTGTTTTATAGTATGTTTAATTTTTTCCTCCCTAGTTTATTATAACAACTCTCACAGAATAACAGAATAACTTGAAATGCTGTAAATATGTTAGTTTTCCTTGTATTTTTGCACCTTGGCAATATGTAATGCAAGTTACATTTTGTGCAGCTCTGAGATCAGTTACATGGTATGCCATCGTGACTTACTTATTCAGGATATCAGAAGCCAAATGCTTTGCAACACGTTAAGCTTTTCTAACAATGTGCACTTTTGTTCATGAGCTAATGAAAACAATGCATGAATATAAATTTATATTATTTGTAAATACACACACATGTATTTTTTGTTTTATTTCCTTTTCATCAGTAAAGGGAGTTTTCTGTTACTGTTTCTTTGATAGATTGATTTGGTTGATTTTTGAAAACTCTCTAAAACCAAGATCAAATCAACAATGACAGACATGGTTTTGCATTGTTGTGGAGTTGCTATTTCGGTGTCAACTCTGTGAGTGTTATTGTTCACAGACAGATGCAATGGGAATGATGAAACCTCAAGTAACAAAAGTCTGGCGGAGGCGTAAGCTCTGGGAGCGGGTGTGGAAGAAAGAGGAGAGTTGAAGTAAGGGAATGTGTGGGAGAAATCAAGACACCTTTCCCTGCGAAAAAAATCAAAACTGATCTCAGTTTTCCTCCCCTGGGAATGGGGTGGCGAATTACATACTCACACATTTATATACATATATATAATCATATATATGTATTGTGTGATTATTATTTGTCCAATTAGGGTTTTTTTCCAATTAAAAATTTTCCAATTTTTTCCCAATAAAATTCTCCAGTTTTTTCTGATTGCTTTCCAAATAAAGCATGGTTGTTTCCAAAATGTATAAAGACCAGATTAAAGACAATGGAAATAAAGCTGCTTTGTATATATGCTAGAGTATCTCTAGTAAGAAAATTATAAAGTTTCTCTTACTGGAAAACTATTTGCTATCATTCTAACCCTGAAAATGTTTTTTTGTTTTTTGGGTTTTTTTTTTTTTTTTTACTTTTTCTTCTTTTATTCCAGGAAAAAGCTGACAGATTATAGTTGTTCGTTGGTTTGTTCTTGTCAAAAATGAACACTTCCCCACTTGCCCTCTGATTCTGGGCAAAAGGAAGGACCCCAGACTCTAAACTTCCCTCCCAAGCCCTTGTTGCCAAGGACTCTTACATTCAGATTCCTCGGAGGTTCTGTTTCTGCCACCTGCTAGTCATAACAACTAGTTCCACTAACTGCACAAAGGAGTTTTCAACTCCTCCATGTTTGTGGTATCTGCAGCATTTCCTTTTATTTTGTTAGTTGAACGTATACCATGCCTGAGGATAAATGTTCTGTACGCCTATTGAATACATAAATGAACCTGACATTTATGTCTTTCCCAAATTAGGGACACAAGACAAAACTATTTGTCTTACTGTAGAGCAAAGAATAGTGATAGTCGTGCCCTTGAGAATTCTGCTCTTTCTGAGTTATTTTTATACTACCACCATCAGTGTTGAAAATCGTATTGATTGCCTAGAGAGAAAGAAAACGAAAAGAGAAAGGCATTTTCAAAAAAAATTATAATACATTGATTTAGGCATTGCTGCCTTTGGTAATTTTCGAGACCAATAGAAAATGAGAGAATCACCGAAAAAGTTACCTGAAATTCTCCTTTTGTGAAACAATGCAGTAGAACCTAGCTATGCTTTTATGGTCGTTGACAGCAAAATATTGACAGCCCCTCACAGTATGTGAGTTTTAAGTCACTCTGCTTTCGTTGAGAGATATGTTTTATATCATGGTTTTCATAGGAATACAAATTATTTCACAAAGATTTATATAGCACACACTATTCTCAGGAATTCTGTATTACATGAATGCTGCTTATCTATTTTCATATTCTAAATCGTTGTCTTTTCAAGCAAATGACTAACATATATGTGCATGCAGTCTGCCTTGACAAGTTGTTCAAAGCTGAAGCACTTTCCCAGTCCAGTGTGTGAAAAATTTATCGAGACTATAGCTGAAATAGTTTGCAGTTGTCTGAGTCTGTGCACGCACTTTTCGATAAAATGCTGCTGAGTGACTGCATGATGAAATACAACTTCTGAACGCTGCACTTTCTTCCAGAATGGCTGTTAGCACAATCTGTTTTAGAACGGAATGGAAAGGAACCTCTTTCACTCAATAAATTGTGTGATACCGTATTTTTCCTATAATTTGCATGTTAAATTTAATCCTGCTTGTTTTTTCACTATAAGTTGGAGTGTGTTTGGGGAGAAGGGATTGCTCATTCTTTAGCTCTAAAGGCAATAGTTTCCTATTCTTGCAGGCCCTTGTTACACTCTTAAAAAGTTTTGGCTATTTGTTCTCTGATAAGCTCATTGTCATCATCAAGGCATTTGCACATGAAAAGTACAGATGGAATACCGTACTGATTCTAATAATGCTTTGTTCTAGAAACAGAGGGGAGAGGAAGGTTGATTTGTTCTTATGAAAGCAGTAAATGTTTTTCACACAGAAGCATTTTCTTTTTTTCACACTTGGGCTGACTCCACCAATCATCATCAAAATCTCCTTAGGATAGGAATTTTAGCACAGATAAAGTTCATGCCAAGAAAGGAGGACATACAGAGACAGTGTAGCCAACTGGCAACAATAGGCTACCAAATTGCCCATGTTCTCTCAACTTGATGCTCAAAATTGAAAATTTAGGTTGCCTGAAGAGTTGTGTAACTAATATGGTTGAGCTGATAAGTTTGTCAATTGGAGGCAGGTAAACATAGGCCCAGGGTATGGTGTGTGTGCTTGTGTGTGTGTTTGCGTGG